AGAGAATAGGCAGGAAACCTGGGGGGCATTGGGAAGGACTGGGAAAGCCTGGCAGCTGGGTGGGCCAAGTACTGGCTCCCGTCCTGGGAGGCAGGGTGGTGTCTGGAAAGAGTGTGGGCTGTGGAGAGACAGAGCTCACTGTGTCTTGACTCTGTCATCCTAGATTTAGGACATCTATGTTTTGGGACAAAGAACACCCACCTGAAGGGATGACACAGGTGTTGTTGCCAGCCTATATGGGTAACAAGCATTAGCTTTTAGCCAATGCTGGCCCGCTGGCGACTGGCCCACAGGGAGGGACTATGGGAAAGAGGCTTCACGGATGGAAAAAGAGATGGCAGTGGCCAAGGCAGGCAGGTGCTGTGGGGACCTGACTCTTCCTCTTTACCCTTCAGAGATGGCTTGAATATGTTCCAACCAGTGTTATCCTGAACAGCTCATTGTAGCCCCAGCTGGATGGCTGTGCCTGACCTGGCCAGCTGTGGGGTGCCCTCCAGATGGGCACCTCCAGGCTGGCTTCTATCAGTACTCACAGTGACCGCTTGGAGTCAAAGTCATGTGGGGAGGGAACTCAGTCCACAACTTCCATGGGTGTACAGGCATGCCAAACACATGCTGCAAATATGAAGGAATAACAGTTGAGTCTCTGGTCACCAGTGATAGATGGGAGGAAGGGCCATCAAGGTAGGGCAGAGAAAAGATAAAGTTCTCTCAGCCCCAACGAAGCCCATTGGCCCCCTTCTCTCTCCTTATACCCCCTCTTCCAGTAGAGCTGTCCAACTGCATCCAATGCTGTCGCCATCTCCAGCCTGGACACCTCGGCATTTCTGTCACCCATGATGGTTGGCCTAGTGTCCTTTCAGGTCCTGTGTGGTGCCAGGGGTTGAATGAGAGGCCATTGTCCCACCACTAAGGCAATGTGTTTTGCGTCAGGAGAGGCCTACTGTACCATCTCTCAGATCCTGCCTCTCTCTCAGCTTTCCCACCCCTCCCCCGCTGGCCCATCCCAATAGCTTAGAGTCAGGCCCTCCTGAGCTGCCCACAGCCTCCAGAAGACTCCCTGCCTCTTTCTGTCCACCTCTCTTCCACCTCCTTCTGTCCTGAAGCCAGTGAGAGATTAAGCCACTGCCTGTCTGCCCATTGTGTGGAGTCAGTTCCGGACTTTCTGTGGGCAGAGGACTTGGACCCTCTTCCCAGGTTTGTCCCACTAAAGTCTCTCAGTGTCACTGTGTCACCACCTGCTCCCACCATTTCCTCTGCCCTGTCCAGTCCCCAGAGCACAGTCCAGGTCCAGGGACGCGCTGAATTGTCCAAACGGCTTGTACTTTGAATGGAAACTTTATTAACAGTGAGGACACTTAAGGAAAGGCAGGTTTCCACATCTGAAATCCCTCTGCTAAGTCCTTCATTGTCTCTACCCTGGTTTTGGCTCCTTAGAGGGCAGATGTGGTTCTGACACTGGCGCATTCAGTTCTCTTGGACAAGGAGGGACCTTGGATAGCACCAAGTCCTTCATTCTTCAAATGAGGTCCCTGGAGCAGCAGCATCTGGGAGGGTATTGTAAATACGGCCCTTAAGAGTTTTCACTGTTCCTGCAGAACCTGAGTTCGGTTCCCAACATCCAATACGTGTCTCACAACCACCTGTAATATCAGTTCCAGGGATCCAATACCATGTTGCCTTTAGAAGAACCCACATTTGCAGCATGTACCAGCCACCACCCACCACATACACATGCACAAGCACATGTACATGCACAGTCACACACACACATGCACAAACACACACACATGCATGCCCTCCCACTTGTGCATGCACACAGAGGCACATGCACACTCACATACCCACAACACATGCACACACACATGCACAAACATACACGCATGCACACCCCCACAGACATGTGCATGCATATACAGGCACAAACACTCACATACTCATTACCATCCACCACACACACATGTATGAACACACAGACACACAAGCATACACGCTCGTGCACCCCTACACACACATGTGCATGCACATACATAACTACTTCCACCCACCACACACATACATGCACACACACACATGCACAAACACAGACATACACCCACATACGCATGTATACGCACAAACGGGTACATGCACATTTATATACTCACTATCACCCACCACACATACACACACACACACACACATACACACATTCACATTTTTAAAATTTAAATAAGTCTTTTAAAAAGAAAGAGTTCTAGGTCCTTCCAGAATCAGAGGACATACCAGTATGAGATCACAGATTCATATGCATGCTGAAGTTTGGGGATCAATCAAAACCCCACCCATCCCTGAGCTACCTAAACACTTGTCAAGAGTCATCAAATACACTCTCACACCTACGTAGAGGGAAGAGCTGTTTCCAAAGTAGTGTCTAGAGTACCTTGCAGCTGGACTCCTCACTCAGGATCTCCCTCTCCCCTCACACTCCCAGGCTCCTGCTCCCCACCTCTCACCTCCACTCTGTACTTCAGGTGCCAATGCCCACAGCAGAAGCCTGCGGCAGCACGGGCCACTCCAGAGACACCTGTTGGAAAGGTTGAGGCTGACCCCTTTCCGGGTCTGATTTTCTTTCTTTCTTTCTTTCTTTCTTTCTTTCT